TACTAAGTCACAGAGCAGCATGCTTTCTTCTCAGGAAAGTGTTTTCCTAACGAAGCTTGAAAATGATGCACTCCATGATGAATGTGGGGAAAAAAAAAATCCAAGAGAGCTTCACACTTACTTTTTAATTAGTGAGATGGTCAGAGATGTTGTTTTCTAGCCAATATCAGGGTGAGGTGATGTGTACCCAAATATTTGACACCAAAAATTGTAGGTCTAAGCCAATAGTATTAGGAGCAAGGATGACAGATATTCTCTATGACCTTTATTATAAGTGGATGCTAAAAGAAATCATTTTTTCCCCCACTGACGTGAGGTATGGAAATTGGTGCTAACCTACTATTTTACAGAAAACTCTTTTGTTAAAAGCTCTCAGACTTGCTTTCTCTGAGAAAGATATTTGCAGCTATAATTAAAAAACTGTTGAAATTGTGCTGATAATTATCTTAATTGGTATGAAAATCTGATTGAATACTTAAAAGAATAAATTCCCCCAGCTGATTTTTATAAGCAACACACTTTTTAACAAGGAAGCTGAAATAGGTAAATAGGTTTTCAAAAATAAAGACCCTGCTAGCTGTAAGTAGGTTACATTTAGAAGTCTCTTTGTGTGCCTGTTTATCTTAATTTGGACAACTTGGTGGCCTTGCAATATTTATGTCCAAGACTAAAATTAGGTCCAAAATAGAGGAAGTGAAGTTGAATTGCTTGACAAGGTTTGGGATGAAAGGTCCTCCCTGTCCAGACCGAGACACTAAAAGCTCTCTGAAGAACCACAGGGCTAAAACAATGACTGGATGAATGAGCAGATGTAAGACTCCAGTGTGCATCCATCTAGATATGGCTGAGACCAGTGGTTTTCTAACTGTGTCAAAGGAACACCTGCAGCATTCCTTCAAATGCATATTCCCAGGTTATTGTCTCGATTTACTGCATAGCATCTCTGGGAGAAAACCCTGAGAATCTCTAGTTTTAAAACATGTTCTTTAGATGAAGCTCTGGTGGCACAATGGTTAAAGCATTCTGCTGCTGACCAAAAGGTCAATGAACCTGCCACCCACTCTGCAGGGGAAAGATGAGACAGTTTGCTTTTGTAAAGATCTACAGCCTTAGAAACGCTATGGGACAGTTCTGCTTTGTCCTATAGGGTCAGTATGAATCAGAATCCACTCAAAGGCAGTGGGTTGGGTTTTGGGTTTTAATATCTTAGATAGCTGTTTCTATTTTTATTGTGGTAAAAATATATATAATAAAACATTTGCAGTTCAACAATTTTTTTACATGTAGAAGTTGGTGAAGATGATTCTATTTAATGTACTTTAAATCACCACTGCACAAACCAATTGTACACATGCTCCAAGTAGAAGAAAAGAAGGCAAACAAAAGGAAAAGGCATCTAAACCAGAAGAATAAAGTGGATTATTTTCCTGGAGAGAAATAAATAATAATGGATGGCCTCAATTCATTTATATTTGCCTTTGAGAGATGTCCTCACTATGTTTTCACAGCAGATTTACCACCATAACTTAGTTCTGCTTAGCATAATAATAAATAAGTTTTCGTTTCCAAAATACACACTCAAGAATGTGTGTGGGTGTAGAGAAATTGCTCCACATTGTAGGGGAATGACAAAGGAAAATTAACTTGCGATTTAAAGTTTGTCACAGAATATCCACAAAACTAACAATCCAAATATAGATAAGTAAGAGATAATTAATTGTTTGCAGGTTCAATGGCCCTCCACAACACGTACATACCATTACCAAAAAAGCATGCTGTCTTACAGGTGGTTCATAACAATGTGCCTTTGGTACTATCACAGTTAATGGAACACACAGTAAATAATTCCACAAGGAACAAGTATTCTTTCATGTGGTAAGTACTTCATAGCGATAAACCCTGAATTGTGTACTTTGTTTATTGCAGTTGAGGAGAGGTATTCGGTGAACATGGCAGGCAATTTCTATTTGCTCTGGCAACTATTTTTCAACTGCTCATCTGTCTTCCCACCCCAAAGACATTGAAACTATACCCATTCATCAAATCCAAACAAACAAATCAACAACAACCTGTAGCATTCAGGAACATAAGAGGGAAAAGAGGTCCCATTTTCCTTCTATTAATATATATTACATTTCCTTTGTATGGTGTTGTTATTGTTAGCTGTCACCAGATCAACTCTGATTGCTGGTAACCTTATGTACAACAGATTAAAATGTTGCCTGGTCCTGAAAAAAAAAAAAAAAAAGGACCCTGAGGGCAAATGGCCTGAGTGGGTCACCTCAACTCCATGGATGCAGAAATCTGGATTCCAGGGGAGAAAACAAATGAAAAACAGAGAAAATACACAAATATATTATCATATCATCACAGATACTGCCACAGTTTCCAGTTTGTGTTCTTTCATCCTATACATAGCTTTATTTAAAAGTAGTTAACTTTGCCAGATGGCAAATGAGAAATGACTAAAATCAATAGTCAGGTTATTTAGCTGCCTTAAGGAACACTGGTGTCATAGTAGATAAGGCATATGGCTACTAACCAGAAGGTCAGCGGTTCAAAACCACCAGCAGCTCTGCAAAAGGAAGATGAGGCGACTTACTTTCATGAAGATTTACAGCCTCAGAAACCC